TCTAACTTGCTAAGGGAGAATATGGAGTTCAGACTGTAGATGGGAAAGTTGATGCGTTTGGCACCATCTAGACTATCCATCTAGGCTGACAAACTATCCTGGAAAGACATGGCTCAAAATTGAAGGCAAAGAGTGATAGTTGGGACTTGGGTTATTGGAAGGAATTGCATGAAAAAACTTTCGTGCATGGTGGAGTATTTATAAGTTAAAACAGAGCAACGGCGGCCTAAGAGACGAAACCCTAGAACCTGAATACCCCAGTCATTTGTGCATATGCATGTGCATGGTACATGCGCATGTCTTCAGTACTTTTTATTTGTAATGTTCAGGTTTTGAATGGAGGTGGACGATATAAAAACCGGTGTTGTTGAAGGTATTTCAGTAAGTGTTTTCAATTGTATTGAACTTGCTTTGCCTAATTTATTTTCTCAGTTGAGGTTAAGATATAAACAAAAGAGTATTAAGGTTGATAAAATATTCCCCCCTTTGTGCACCCAATGCCAGTGGGTTGGTCAAAGTAAATGTTTATAATCGGAGGTTAGATGGTAATGACAATCTACAGGCGTGGTTTCTTTTCCTTGTGGATTATCAATGTGAGTTAGTAAATTATGGGAATGGTTATTGTTCAATTAACTACAAACAGGTGCCATGAATGTTTTTCTCACCTACCCACAATGCCCATGCCCAAAAGAACAACTCTTGGAACTCCTTCAATCTCTTCTCCAACTAGCATGTCAGCCATACTACATACTTGTCCCAAGGGAGCTCCACGAAGATGGAAACCCTCACCTTCATGCCATGGTTCAATGCACAAAGAAGATCCAAACTACTAACCCGAGATTTTTTGATCTCACCGGAACCAACGGCAGAATCTATTATCCAAATATAAAAAAACTTCACTCTCCAACAGCTAGTCGACAGTAGATACAGAAAGGGGGCGACATCATAGAATTGGGAGAATTTTCATCGAAGAGGAAAAGTCCTTCGAAGAATAGAGATGAACTCTGGAGGGAAATACTTGCAAAAATAGAAATGGAAGACCGCACACACATCTCATGCTGATGAAGGAATTTGGCCTTTTTAGGGACAGGGCATACCAGAGATAGTGGAGGCATTCTGATATCTGTGTTTGAGTCATTTTAGGTTGGTTAGGTTGTTTGTTCAGCATTTTTGAGTTGTAATCTTGGTTTTGCCTTTTTATTTTTTGTTTTATCCAAAAAAGTCTTTACCAAAACCATGAAATAAACGCAATAGGCCAGGTATTTAGAAAAAGATACTCAAAATTTTGAAATAATGAGTTGGATTTCATTGCATAAACCGTGTGAAATGTACAAAGGCTTTTACAAAATATGGGGCATTCCCCAATGGTACCGTATATAGTGTTTCTAAAAGAAAAAAGAAAAATATACTAAAGGTAAAAAAGAAAGTAAAAGGAACATGGACTCAGTTAAGCCCTTTGAAGGTGCTTCAACGCACCCTAAGAGGAACCCTTCTCCTCCTCATCATCATTATCACCACTACTAGAATCGGCATAGTCCTCGTTAGAGTCACTTCCATTGGCAGCACCTCCCACATGCCCAGATGGGCTGGCATCCTGCAAAAACCTAGAAAGATACTTAAAATCAATCAGGCTAGAAATCTCAAAATGATAAGAAGCACTGGAAAGAAGAATACATGTCATGGGATAGGAGTGGCACTCTTGTATCCTCGAACCATCTCCACCAGGCCAATCACCGTCCGATAACATGCCTCTACGTATGCTCGGGGAACCTATGTCGGAAAGAGAAACAAGGATCGATATTGATAAAAGCAAAAGCAAGAAAACCAGAAACTAAAAAATTCAATGAGTACCTGCTCAACTTCGGGAGGGGGATTATAAGGTACTATGGCTGGCTTTGGAATAGACAATGCTAATGTGCCCTCTAGTATGATGACCAAGATAGCAGAAGGCATCACTAGCAAGCTCTCCACCGCTACAATACCTATGCTTTCAATAGGCGCCACACCTAGAGCCAAAGCAGGAACCTAGCTTCATTCTCGACCTCAACCAGTCGTAAAGATAGCAGGGCCTAGTGCGACTCTAACTAGCCATCCTCCCAAATGGTCCTGGATATATGCTATATAACCCCCCTCTATCTACAGCCCTTTAGTATCGTTGCCACCATACACAAGGAGGAGCTTCTCCTCGGTGAAAGAGTTCACCGCCCTCATGCTAACCGAGGGAGATATAGGAATCCGTGGGTTGATCATATCCAAAGACTAGCAGAAGACCTACTCAGCCAAGTACTAGACCCGACAAAAAGGCCCCTTCAGTAAGAGTCGCTGTCATGTAGTCGTTTGGAGGGTTGGATACCAAGCCTCACTAATAGAGGGAACACTTACCCATAGATGCCACATGATTTGAGAAATGCAGTACAACGATCAGTAATTCAAAGGAAAAAGAATCAAAATAGTCAGGATATGGTTATTAAACTAAGGCCTGAAGGAGGATCTTGAGGCTATCCTTGCTATCCTTATTGCTATGGAAGATAGAAATGACCAATTGGTGTGGCACCCAACCTAATCGGGCCAATATTCAGTCAAATCGGGCTACGCTTTGGCCAAGTAGGTTAGAAGTGCAAGTAGATCATTCAAATCCTCAACATTTCATAATCTTGGGAAGGATTTCTAGCAAGCTATTTGGGCTCTTCAAATATCTCCTTAAATTCGACGTATTTGGTGGAGGGTCTGTAACAACTTTCTAGCTACAAAAGTAGGATTGCTTAAGCGTAAATGTGCTCCTTCAGGCCTATGTCCCATCTACCAACATCATGACGAGTCTATGGAACACTTGTCGTTTGATTGTCCCTGGACCAAAGTAGTATGGTTTAGGAGCTCCATTAATTAGAAAATTGATAAAGGTTCAATTCCAAATGTGGCCAAGTGGACAGAAGATCAACTACGTTTAGGCCTACCTAAAAGATGCTAATCAACTTATTAGTCAAGTGGCAACGATTGCATGGTTTATCTGGAAGGCCCGGAATGATTTTGTTTTTAACCATCAACCGGTGGACCCCTCTCTCACCCTCGTTGAAGTCTCGCAGTTTTAGAGGGAACATTTTGATCTCCTACATTCAGCAAATTCCTATAATCCTACTTGAGAAGAGCCTCACCAGTCACCACATTCAGGCTGGAAGCCAGCTCATGAAGGTAGTGTCAAACTTAATTGTGATGCTGCATTTTGTAAAGCTTCCTTCAAAGCTGCTATTGTCGTGGTGGTCAGAGACTCTTTTGGCAATCTCATTGATGACAATGCGCTATCTATTGATGCTTTTGTCGGCCTCTCAAGTGGAAGCTCATGCGGTGCGCCTAGCTTGCTTTATGGCTGAGGTTTATAATCTATCCCATGTGGAAGTTGAGAGTGATAACAAGACGGTTATTCAACTTTGTGTCTCAAAGAAGGTACCACCCTGGGAACTCAGTCATGGTTCTAAATATTGGCTGATACGCTACGTATCGGTCGATACGTATCCGAAAAATAGGGTGTCGCGACGGATACAAGCCGGTATACCGCTAAGATTGAAAATCGCAGGAGTATCGGTCGAGTCCCGGCACGTATCGACCTGTAACCGTTACACAAGTCGTTACACAAGCCGCGACGAGCCGATACTCACCAGTTCGGACCGGTACGGGAAAGAAAAAGCTGAAAACCTGTAAAATGATTTTTAAAATTTCACCGCCGCGACACCTGATTCCTGATACGTACCGATCGATACTACCGATACCGATACCGATACTCCGCGATCGATACCGTTACGTTACCTGATACCACGATTTAGAACCTTGAACTCAGTGCATTGATCTTGGATATATGGAGAATATCATCTGAGAACCACTATTCCCTTTCGTGGATCGGGCGAATGAACAATAGAGCAACACATTAGGTGGCAAAGGCCAAATTGTCCAATAGTTTACCTGTTAATTGGGTTATTTTCCTTCTTGTTAGCTTTGTTTCTGTATTACATTCTAATGTTCTTGCTCCTTTTGATCAATGAAGTTTTTTTCGGTGTTAAAAAAAAAAAAAATCATTTTACATTTGGAAATTGATGAATTATTGCCCTTCTCCACGTCCCCTCTAACATGAGTGGGCCTCACTGCGTGTGCGTGTTCGTAAAAATAAATAAATAAATAATAACAGTCAAACTAGTGTTATCTTAAAATTTAGAAGGACAAAAAAAATGAATGCTAATTTCATATTTTGAATTGGAAATCGATAAATTAAGAACTTTTCTTTATGAAACCACATCCCCTTCAACAATTGATTGTAAAATTTAAAAATAAAAAATAAAAATAGAAAAGACTAAAAAATTAGTGCTATCTTAAAATTTCAAAAAAAGAAAAAAAAGAAAAGTGAACTTTTTTTTTAATATGGTGAAGAAAAAGTAAAATAATTAATGTACCAACATTAATATCTTATGAAACTCATCATATAATTTAATTAATGTTATAAAAAGGGAAGTATTAGAAACTCACAATTTGATTTCTAAAATCATCTACAATGATGTAGTAAGGGAGATAGGCCATATACAATTGAATGTGTCATAAATTAGATATTAACATCTATCATGTCAGATCATTATGATTCAAATTATTAATTAATTTTTTTATTTTTTAATATTTTTTGTAAGTCTTAAACATTTTCTATATAAAAATCACTACAAAGAGGTTTTACATGTAATGTCAAATTTGGTTACTAAAAAACAAAACAAAAAAAATGAGGAAGGGAATTGGAGCGATAGGGGGAAAAGGAAATGCTGACATGGACAAGAAAAAGGATGGGATCAAAAAGAGCACAACCCTTTTTTTTCCAAATAAACAAGTGTGTGTGGGGGAAAAGAATCAACCAACCAACCACATTAACAACAATGAAAGATCTCTTTAGGCCACAAACAACTTGTGGCTGAGAATTCCCTCCCCACCTCTGACGTGGCATCTCCACACCTCTTTTTATACCCACCAAAATGAAGAAGAATCAAAACCCCTAAACCCAAACTACCCCAATCCAACACACAAGAAGGAAAGAGAAAGAGAAAGAGTAAAGAATGTCGGCAATCAAGCTGTTTGGGAAGACGATTCCATTGCCACTAAAGAAGAAAGCTAGGATTGTTGTTACTGTTGATGATTATGATAATGATGATGATGATGATGAGCAACAACAACCGGACAGTTCTTCTGAGTATAATCTTGCTTCTTCAATCACTTCTCTTTCTGATGGACAACAAGACATCAAGGTATGATGATTTCAAATATTTTCATGAATTTAGAGGTTACCCATTTTTTATTTTTTGCAAAATTGTTAGTGGGTCGAGAGAGTTTTATGTTTCCATTTCATATAATCTTTGTTTAGTCTAAAACTAACAAGATTTATAGTCAAATTGGAGTTTCAGAAAAACCTTTCTTTAAAACTATTAAGAGTTTGATCATACACCATCACAATTCTTTACCTTCCTTTTTTCAATTGTATTGTTACTGAGGGAAATTATAAAATACACACTGGCTGTACCATATGCAGTCTTGTTATGCCATTTTTTTTTAGTTATGATATGATATTATTTTAGTCATGACTCGTGAAATGTTTAATTATGTGTTCATGTTGTATTTAGTTATGACATTTTTTTCTTTTAGTTGTGACTCAAATAATATGAAATTATATCATTTTGTTCCTTATTTATAAGCTACATAGTGTGTAGCTGTTACTAATACATGATCTTTCTCAGACTTAAGGGTTGCTTGTAGGGTTTATGCTATTTTTTTTGTTTTTATTTTTTGATTGACTAAAGTCAATTCTGGTGTTCAATTAGATTATGTTTGTAGATTTGCTAAAACAAAATCTTTGTATGTTTTTGCTTTTGTTGATTAGATAGTTTAGAGATTATCGTTGAAATTGGATTTTAAAAATTTTCTACTAGTTGGATGCAAGGTGCTCTTTTATATGAGCTACTTATAATTTTTTTTTTTTAATTTTATTTTATGTACGACATTAATTAGTACAGTTTTTGCTTATAACTAATTAAACATAAATAACTTAATCAAGTTGAAAAAAAAAAAAAGAAAGCGGATTATATGTCTTACTTAACCTTCTATTTTCAATCCTTTGGATTACTCCTCTGTTTCAATGGCTCTATAAGAAGGCAGAGGAAACATAAATGAATGAACAATCTTTTAGAATCAGCTTGCAAGTTGGCTATCCAATTTGAGAGAACTTTGGCTAAGTGGGCTTATTTTGGGGCTGATCTCAGTAATTGAACCAGTTAATTTTTAAAAATCATAGAGTAAAATATTCATAAAAAAAAAAAAATCAAAATGATCGGATATCGGTATTCTGGTGTTCAATTAGATTATGTTTGTAGATTTGCTAAAACAAAATCTTTGTATGTTTTTGCTTTTGTTGATTAGATAGTTTAGAGATTATCGTTGAAATTGGATTTTAAAAATTTTCTACTAGTTGGATGCAAGGTGCTCTTTTATATGAGCTACTTATAATTTTTTTTTTTTAATTTTATTTTATGTACGACATTAATTAGTACAGTTTTTGCTTATAACTAATTAAACATAAATAACTTAATCAAGTTGAAAAAAAAAAAAAGAAAGCGGATTATATGTCTTACTTAACCTTCTATTTTCAATCCTTTGGATTACTCCTCTGTTTCAATGGCTCTATAAGAAGGCAGAGGAAACATAAATGAATGAACAATCTTTTAGAATCAGCTTGCAAGCTGGCTATCCAATTTGAGAGAACTTTGGCTAAGTGGGCTTATTTTGGGGCCGATTTCAGTAATCGAACCAGTTAATTTTTAAAAATCATTGAGTAAAATATTCATAAAAAAAAAATCAAAATGATCGGATATCGGTAATTATATGTTTGAATTACATTTGTCTTAAAAAAATTGACATCATATATAATTTTAATTTTATAATATAAATATGATTCAAATATTAGCAACTAATATCTGATTATTTTAATTTTTTTGTATCAATATTCTATTTAATGAATTCTAAAAATTGCATGGTTCAAATTAATGAAATCGGCTCCAAAATAGGCCTACCAAGGCCAAGTAGTCTCTCAAGGTGGATTACCATGTTAGGAAAGTTGTTCTTTAGTTCCTAGTCCATCTTGGAATGCTTTCATCTGAAAATTTTCCTTAGATTACTTCTTCTCCTTTGTTTTTGGATAGTATTTCAGCCAATTTTCTCTTTAAATTGCTGTCACTAAGTACCTGAATTTTTAAAAAATTTCAATAGTGCTTGAAAACCATGTGACATTGAAAGTGTTCTCCCTACAAATAATCTTCTCATGTGATATGTGATCATTAAATTATTGTGGATTAATTTAATTATTGAATCCAATAAACTATATTTTACCAAGAAATCATAAAAGTAGAGAAGATTTTGTCCGTCAGTATGATGTATAAGATCAAACTTGCAAATAAAATTGTGACCTCTTAAACAAATTGTGGTTATTTTGATATTTCTCTTTCTAATCTTTGCTGTGTAGTCCAATATAGCTTGTCCAATTTTCTTATGGTAATTTTATTGTAATTTTCAGAAATATTCAGAAAGTGAACTCGCCGAGACTAGACAAGAAGATCATACCTCTCACCCAACTGCAGAAGAGATAAAATATCCTGCAACATCATGTGAAAACCCTAAAACCCCATCTATTGACAAAGAACCTGTCTCACCTGAAGAATCTAAGAATGACGAGGGGAGCGAAACTAGTGTCTCACAAGAAAAGACTCTGAAGAAGCCAGACAAGATACTTCCATGTCCCCGTTGCAATAGCATGGACACCAAGTTCTGCTACTACAACAATTACAACGTCAATCAGCCCCGTCATTTCTGCAAAAACTGCCAACGGTACTGGACATCTGGAGGGACTATGAGGAGTGTTCCCATGGGTAGTGGTCGTCGCAAAAACAAAAGTTCGTCTCCTTCACAATTTCGTCATATAATGGTCTCAGAGGTGCTCGCTAATGGGATTCACCATCCGACATCAAGAACCAATGGCACTGTCCTCACCTTTGGCTCAGATCCACCCGCTTGTGAATCTATGTCGCAGAGTTGCATCAGGAATGAATTTCATAAACCTGAACAGAAAGTTTCTGCTTTGTTTGGAGGGATAGAAAATGGGGATGATCACTCAAGTAGGTCATCAATCAATGCTACAAATTCGGCAGACAATTTTCGGACCTTACCTCCTCAAGTACCATACATCGCAGGGCCTATTTGGCCTTGTCAATGGAACTCACCTCAGTGGAGGTCTGAAATGCCACAACCCTCTTTCGGGCCTTCTGGCTTTCCAGTAACATTTTACCCGGCCCCACCTTATTGGGGTTGTACTCTACCCGGACCGTGGAATGTGCCATGGCTTTCCCCTACACCTGCTTCCCCTGAACCTGCCATGTGCTCCGGTCCTAATTCTCCGGTCTTGGGGAAACATTCGAGGGATGGGGACATTCTTAAACCATCAAATCCCGAGGAAGAGGTAATGGAAAAAATCAATTCAGAGAGATGTGTTTGGATTCCAAAGACTTTGAGGATTGATGATCCGAGTGAAGCTGCAAAGAGCTCGATATGGACAACACTCGGGATCAAGATTGGAAACAATGATTCAATCCGTGCTGGCGGACTATTTAAGGCCTTCCAATCAAAAGGTGATGAGAAAATTCACAGAGATGAAACATCTTTAGTGTTGCAAGCCAACCCTGCAGCCTTGTCTAGGTCACTTAACTTCCATGAGATCGCATAACGAGTAGTGAAATTTTAGCATCAATTTACTTCTTTCTAATCAGCTGCTCCATTTTTATCTTTTCTGTAACACTAGGGATTGCTGTTTTTGGAGTGAGGCTAGATGTTTTGTTACTGTGTTCTTGTACATAAGAACATATACAACACAGAGATAGCAAAACCAGAGAGATTCTTGAATGTACCGACATCCATATTCTGCAGAATACATATGTTAATACAAGTGATCAGGAATTTCTATCCTATTTTTCTGGTGCTTTAAGAATGAGTTTCCTTCATTTTTATCAGAAAGAAAAATGCTAGGAACCCACTCTTACATATTCTGAATTTATCACGAATATATTTGTATAGGGAAAATTGAATTGATGAAGATAGGGCTTGTATATGAAATGAATTGGAGCCATTGATTATTTTTGTGAGTAAATTCTAGGTTGATGATGGTGGGTTTGTAATATTGTTGTATGAGAAAACATGGACACCTAGTGAATTATATTTTGAAACATTCAAAACACAATATACTTTTATTTCAAAACAATAAATTTGACAATTCAAAGAGATCCCAAAAATTATGAACGAAAATCTATGGTGGCGTGAAATTTTAGCATAACAAGATGTCAAAATAGATCATAATCCATATAGAAATGTGTTGTCATGTGATTAATTTGAAAAAAAACAAAAAACACAAAACAAAACAAAAAACATTTTGTTGCAACTCTAATTGTTTAAACTTTCCCTTGTACCCAAAAATAAATAAATAAATTGTTCAAAAAAAAAAAAAAATCTATAAACCAGAAATACTTTAAATTCTTATGGTGTATAAACTATACAAGTCACTATTTGAAATAAATAATATATATACAAGTGTATGCCTATCAATTTCGAACATGTAACGTATGCGTTTCTATTTCATGTATCAAAATAATTCATGTTATAAGTAATATAGGTTTCAATATCCACACTCTTACAATAGCTTATGAAACACATATATGAGTATAGATGTCGGTACATCAAAGGTAAAAAAAAAAAAACAAGATATAGGTATTGCCAAATTCTGTCCTTTATAAAAGTGGTTCATAATTGAGATTCCTAGGTTATGAAAATTTTGAAAAGTAGGTTTACTGTATTTTTCCCCCTATGCTTTACCCGATTTGTCCTTGTGGGGATCGAAAGGGCACCCCCACTATGTAATTCCCCTGTTAAAGATCATCATTACCTATACTAACATACAATATGACATGCTGTGACTTAACTTTTCACACATATCTATTATCTATAGCAAAACCCTACATCCATACAAACTACACAGATACAAATAGATATTATCAGATATGGTTCATCCCCATACGAAACACACTAATGGTTATATGTATATTAATAGTAGAATAGTAGGTTTTAATGTTACTTTTCTTATGATATTTTGAATTGCAAGTAGAAGTGGTTCATTCGTCCATTAGGGTGAATGGTTTATGTAATAATGCGATTGTGATTGAGTTTTTTATAGGAGAAAAAGTCGTAGAACCATATTGTAATAATGAAATTTCTCTATTTAAAAACAAAGAATTTTTTCTCCTTTAGAAAAGAGAAATTTTAAACTTTGTCATTTGAAGTCATCAATTTGATATTTTTAGTTAAAATTTGAAACAAAATATCCATTTTTTTTTAATTTTTATTTTTACAACTGACCCTCAATTTTGAAATTTTATTTTTTGAAAACAAAGGATAATGAAATTTCACTATATAGAGGTGTGAAGACAGTGAAATTTCAATGTTTGAAGACATCTAACATTGTGAAAGCTTGTCAATTTGATTTTTGAAATTTCATATTCGTTATAGGTTTTGTTTAACAGATTTCAAAGAGTGGATTCCAAGAAACACGAACTTTATTTTTCAAAAAGATGAAAATCTAAATCAAAAGTTATTGAATTTTTGAGTTTGGAAATAAATTAAAGCAACCTTCTTTCCTAAACCTATTGGAAATTAATAGTTTTTTGGTGATTTTAATGCAAAATTAAAGTAGGACCCGACCGTCGGTTGATGTTGATTCAAGTAGGTCAAATTTCTTGGCAGTGAAAAGTTTACATCGCAAAAAGAATGAGCCAAAACTATTAAGTATTGATTGAAAAATTGTCTCATAAAGTGGACATCATGAAAGAAGTTTTGGGAAGATGGAAAATCTTCTATCCCACATTGATTAGAGAGCGAAACATTAATGAGTATTTATATCCCTTGTTTAGCTAAAAGGTACGAACCCTTTGGGCATCCAAATTTTTTGAAAGATAGAAGTTAGGGATATGCAAAGGATAGGTTTGTGCCAAGACTATGGACCAAGTTTGTTATAGAAAAAATTGCTACACGTGCATGCGCCATTGCCCGCCTGCTTGCCCGGATTGGGTCCAGGATATATGGTCTGTGGATCTTGGCTTAGACTTGGGTGGTGGCTTACCAGTCTTATTCGTTGCTGGCTATGAAGGCTATGGGGTTCCCTTACATATATAAATAGAGACGTCTTATCTGAGTTTCAATACACAACATTTTAGAGCTTTTTCTTCTTCTCAAAGTTCTTCCTGAGACACATGTACAAATAGAGACCTTTAATCTCATTCTCAACATACAACATTTTAAAGCTTCTTCTTCTTTTCAAAGTTCTTCCTGAGTCTACATACACACAGAGACCTCTAATCTTATTATCAACAGACAACATTTTAGAGCTTCTTCATCTTCCCAAAGTTCCTCCTAAGTTAGTGAGAGAGTGTTGCCATTGTTTTGTTCGCAAGAGCTACTTCAATGAGGTGATTCTGAAGTAGCATTCGTTGTCACTTGGGAGACAGACGCCGACAAACCTCGAGCACCTTTCGGTGAGGTACTGAATCTATTTTAAGGGCACCATGTGATACATAATTCTCAGTTTGCTATCATTTTATTTTTCTAGATCTGTTCTCATATTTGTTTAGTTTCCAAAATTCTTGTGATCTTTGAATTTCAGTTTCTGTAATTTTATTTTTGTTATATAAAATGAATTTATTTTATTTTATATAATTTTTAGCAACAAAACCGTTAGTTGTAGTTGGAGCATTTTGGTTTGAAAATGGTCACCAAAATTTTTACAGGATCGAAGTTGGAAAGCATATTTATTTTTAACCTTATAGTAGTACAATCTTATAATGAATGATCTCTTGGAAAAACTAGTTTTTTTTAAAAAATAGACACAATATAGTATTCCTATATTAAAAGAAGATATATATACACACTTATATCTCGATTTACCCATAAAAGTACCCAATGTATTCACAAGGTTGTGGTGGTGGTGGGGCCGTTGCTGGGGCCTCGACCAACTTGGCCTGCTCTATTTTGGTTCTCTATACATCAATTAGGTCTCGCAGACGTCAATTCCTAACGAGGTCCTCAAGATGTTGTTTGAGAGCCCCAAATCCTTCAGCCATATGCCATTAACGTCATGGTACGCGCAGGACATATGTTGAAACCTTCCATTGACTCTCACGAGATCTTGGGAGTTTTTTTGAAGTAGAATTGATCCCTAATTATCTCCAGAACCTTGTAGATCGAGACCTTAAAGACCATGCTTATTGCCAACACAGTCCTAATCTTTGGCTCACTGTTGCTGTTACCTCGGTCGTTATTTTTCCTTGGCAAGTTTCCTCTTCTTAGTGAGTTACTCATATGCTTAGGAGAACCCCCAACCAATCTTCTCCTTCTCCGCTTTGACATATTTCTCAATCTTGGCCATAAGATCCTCTATTGACGTCGAGAGTTTCTTAGACAAAGATTGTCATAGTGGACTCTTTGCGTCCAAGGCGTTCTTGAATGATACAATGACAAGCTCCTGGTTACAATTTGGGATCCGATTGTAAACCTTGTAGTACCTCTTGGCATAGGCCTCATGGCTTTTGCAAAGATCTCTCTTCAATAACACTAATGAATCCACCCTCAAAGGTTAGGTGGTGTTGGTGACAAACCTGCTAATGAACATCTCGGACAAGGTGTCCCATCTCTTCACAGAGCCTTTCTTCGGCTTCTTGAACCAGTTAGAAGGGATATTACCTAGGTTTGCTAGAAACACTTTGCACAACAATGGGTCATTTCCTCCTTACAACGACATCGCATTGATGTAGAGTCCAATGTGGATATTGGAGTCAGACTTACCATCATACGTGTTTGTGTGCCTCTCTTTGTCTCGTTGTGTTGAAGTTTAGATACCGTTATTGTTATTTGTAGTAGCATGGTTTCCAATAAGGGTCAAAATTTGCTGTCCAGCGTGGTTTTGCACCACAATCTTCATCAGAGCCTCCATCTGAATCATTTATCTGCTAACTCCTTCAACTCCATGCCTCTTCGGTAGACACGGTCATTTTGAACTTGAAGCTTAATCTTATTGTAGTAATCTCCTCAGGAGCACTCATGCACCCAACCGTTTGCTCTCCTTGGGCCGTCCTTCACCTTTGGATTTCGGCCGTCATTGGTGACATTGTTCATTGCATTCTCTTCACATGGATGGCTAGGATTGGTCGACATGTGATCTTGTCACATCGGATTTGAAATATTCAAAGGAGGACTTGAGTCCTAGTTGAAAACAGATTCCTAGGTTAGATAAGTTAGAACTCTTGTGAGAGGTTTAACCCAATCCAACTAGGATAGATAAGTTCTAAATAAGTGTTAATCCTAATAGGAATAAGTGGCCTAGTGAAGTTTAACTTTTAGGAAGATGAGGGCACAAGTTACTACATGAAGAAAGGTCCCCGTGGGTCAAAGACACGCTTTTACATGTGAGTTATTGCTTGAGTTGTTACTCTGTCGATTTATTTTGTGAGATATTGTGAAGTTTAACTTTTAGAAAGATGAAGGTACAAGTTATTATATGAAGAAAGGCCCCGTAGGTTAAAGGTACGTTTTTACATGTGAGTTATTACTTGTGTTGTTACTCTGTCGATTTATCTTGTGAGCTATTATTATTGACTAAATCGTCAGAGTGCCCTCACAGTTGGTAGCAATCAGTTTCGGTATTCTATTCCTTATTGCAAGTGTTGATTCCATCTAATACACGCACTACAACACATAACACTTTTGGCGACTAAATTTTTGTTCACCAAAAGTCATGTTTTAGTCAGCGAAGGTTTTTAGCAACTAAAAGTTTTGGTCACCACGTTAGTTAGTGACCAATTGTCGGGAAAGGTTTTTGGAAACTAAAAAAATTTTAGTTGCCAAAAGTAATAAATTGCTGACTATTTTT